AAATATATATATATATATTTTTTTTAATATAAAAAAATTGGGAAACTATCTATTTTATATTGAACCGTTTTTGACCTTTATTCTATTGATTGACACATGAATACCACAGAACTGAGAGGATCATTTGAAAAATTATCAAAAAAAAATTAATAAATAAAAGCAGAGACATAATTGTAACAGTATTTATAGCAAAGTGTGTAAATGAAAAATCAAGCAGACATATAGTTTCCAAATTATTAGGAATTAGATGGAATAATTTGATCTTTATATGTAGACTATGAAACCTTCCTGGAAGATTTCTATAACATTATCTCTATGAAATTATCACAGATGACAAAACTATAACACGATATCCTGTTCTACAAATGCATTAGGAAAAAAAAGACAATAAAATAAGGAAAACAAAACATTTTCAATCGTGCCTACACTCATCTGCTGATTTTCACTGATTACTTGAAAGGCTACATTTAATAGTGTGTCATTTTAAGGACTTTTGTGATCACACAAACTGTTACTTAAAAAAAACTCTGGAAAACATGGCTTCCATTGGGTGTAATTGAACAGGGGCTTCCAACATCCTGCTGCACCTGCAGCACATAACCTCATTTAGCCCCAGGATGGTTTTAAATGGGAGTTTTAGTTTATATTAGTTTTTATTGCATTTCTGGATTTTGCCCCTATTTCTTCTAACCAGGCCTTAGCTCCCTTTTACCAGGTAAAAGTTGTCTGCAAAAACCCATGAATCACAGGAAGTCTCTCACATTCAGAGAAAAATAAAACACCTGCAATCACTCATTTTGTCTCACCATTGAGAAGTTGGGTCACATGAGCGACCACTCTAGAGACCTGCAGGCTCACCATTAAACTACCACCATTAGAGACCTGAAGCATCGATTCAAAGTTAAAACGGTTCCATAATTTAGCCCCTCCAAAGTTGGACTTTACCTTCTGTATGTTGCAGTAGAAATCAGGCCAGGTAATGTTTTTATTATCTGTTATTGTCCAGTTTCAGTTTCCCTTTCAAACTGAAGCGACCGGCTCCTCTTATGGCTTTCTGCTGCTGTAGCTGATCTGTCTCAAAGCTTTAGGAGTTTTAAGTTTTATTGGTGGTATTTAGCATTCCTTGTTTTTAGTGATGCTGCTACTGTTGCCCTTTCTTCCATCTTGAACCAATCTGTTCATCATCTGACAGCAAATTTTCATTCTCACCATTTTCTATAATCCCAGCTGATCAGTAGTTGCTTAAATATTTATAGTAGGCTGTTTTGAATGAGGACCAGGCAACGTTTGAGGCTCTTAAATTAGTTTTCTTTCCAAAAAGAGTTTTGCACCATATGAGAGAAGGATGTTCTTCTTTTCAATGTGATTCCTAAAAACTAAAATTAAAGTGAATCCAATTCCTCTCTGCTTTTTTCTTTACCATTTCACAAACGGCCATGAGCTCAGGACACTATTTTACATCTGGTGTTGGTGAAAGCAGCTAGACTCCATCCTACTGGCCAAATATATCATTAATATACAGAGTGATTATATAAATATTGTCTTTTGTGATCCTACAAGCACTCATATTACGATAACAATTGCATTTCAGAATAATGTGCAGCTTTAGTTCATTGTTTACAGAGGTAAATTTCTCCAATGTGAGATAAATACATTTTAATTATTATTATATTAACTTGTTTTGATAAAAAAAAAAGATGCTCATGCTTGAGTTTACCAAACTCTACATCTTGCTTTGACAGTTTCTTTATCGGTACCTGGAATGTTAACGGGCAAACTCCAGACAGCAGCCTTGAGCCCTGGCTCTGCTGTGACTCGGATCCTCCTGATATTTATGCCATTGGGTCAGTAAGCAATAAGGATGAGCCTTTTTTCTTTCCATTTAATAACGTAATCATAATTTAAATTGTCTTATGCTAAGGATGGGAGATGAATGACTCCAAAGTTTCATTCTAGTTTTCAAGAGTTGGACCTGAGCACTGAGGCGTTTCTCTACATGGACTCGTCCAAAGAGCAGGTGTGGATAGAAGCTGTGGAGAGAGCATTGCATAAAAAAGCTGACTATAAAATGGTGAGTAAAGTAACGTGTTGAAATGCATGTGGAAGCATGAGATTCACCACAGCATGTAGAGTGCTAACATGCTTTATTCTTGTTTATCTTTTGTTTATCTTAGTCTTTGACATTTTACACATGTCTAAAACAGGGTTTTCCAGAGTTAAGGAGTGAAAGATAACTTAACTCAAAAGCTGATTTAGAGTTAAAGCAATTCCTGCTTTTAGGACCAAATTACCAGATCTAAAGCATGAGCGGCTTACAAAATAAATATTGTGTTTTTCTGAAGCAGAACCTGACCTTTTAAGAAGAAAATTTTTTTTTCCTGTCTACTGTGAATAATCTGTATATATTTCTAGTATTTTTATAAACAATATGAAAGCCCCAGAAAGACTGCCATACATGCCCCCAACAGACGCCTGTGCAGACTTTACATTTTACCACAACTTTAAAACTCTTTCAATATAACATTTTAGAAATAATAATAGAATATTTTTATTTAAAGCTTAAAAATCTCACCCTATTGTAAATGTTACTTCTCATCTTTAGTAAAACGAAACCGATCCCAGTCCTATTTTTCACCAGAGAACAGCAAACTTTGGCAACACCACTGGCGCTTCCTAGCTTGAACCAAACCTTTATTATCAGCTCATTTCATCAATTCACGCATCCCATAATGTCACAGGATGACCTCCTGCTGGAGATGACTAGCTCACACCCTCATCTTTTACGCCTTCTCTAATCTACATATCACTCTTCAGATGCTACAATCAGAAACATTTGCTAGGACAGTTTTTGTCAGGTGCCACCGTGTTGCAAAAGCTGTAACCACAGCCTGTAGTGTATGTCAACATACCTAAAATGTTTTTTAAAGTCATATAACAGTTATTGAATGAAATGATGTCCCAATGTATATTGATATTGAATTATGGTCCAGCCCTACATGAGGTGTTTTTGTTTTCATGGTAAAATGACAGCAGAACTGACCTGAAATCTTTTAAAATTAAACTTGGAATTTTTAAGTGATGAGAAAAGTGTTTGGAAAAAAATAGTAATGAGTCTACAGGTCAAAAGATCTC